GAGCTAACCCTTGGGCACTGTGCAGAGCGCTGTGCTAAACGCTCTAAGTACTCTCCTGCAAAATCATCATCTTTGTGTTATCTGATGAGGTAGTTTGCTATTTCCCAGCTGAATTTCTATCCAAATCAATCTTGTGAGAATTTTTGCAAGTTCCAGACCACAAATAAAGGCAAAGCATAATTTTTCGGAGGACATGTCTAAAATTTGGCACAGCGTGAGGTGCTTCTTTCCAGAGATGACTAATGTAACACAATAGTACGATTTTAATTAAATTCAGCAGCTTTTGGTATGCTCCTATGTATCCTGTTCTGCAGGGAGAGAATTGATTCCATTCTGCTTTTATAAAAACGGCTCTTGGGCATTAATAACGTGGGTTTTCATCCATCTCACAGCACTTTACCAAAACCATTCCCTGACGCTGTTCCTGTTTCACAGATGGGAACCAAAACTCAGAGAGGTGCCTGGATCAAGAGTGGGACTGGAGAAGCAGCTCCAGGTCACCTCTCTGCTCACCCCGCGTCAGCTCACAGCCACCTCTTGGTGCATCAGTAAATTAAATACTGCCTTAATCTGCCTAATCCCACCAAAGATGATGATTACTGCATTTTCAGTTGCCTGGAAGCATCTTGCAAAACCACATGGTTTTCTCTGGATGGCTCTGGGAGGATTTTGCTCATGAAGGGATGACAGCCTGCTCAGGACACCTGCTATGGCTCTGGGGTGCTAGAATCAATGGGGAGGGGTACCCATAGGGATGAAGTGACCCCATGCTCCAGGACTGGTGACTTTTTGCTGTCCTGGAGAAAGAGAGGAGGAAAAAAGTAAGGCAGGAAGGCTGGAGCTATCAGAATAACATGCTACAAACAGCCAAAGTCTGAGCACTTCCCCTAGAGAATATATATTTTGGGTTTGAAGCATCATCAAGCCTCAGCACTGGCACAGATGGACTCGTCTGGAAGCATGGGAGCTGAAGATGACTGCTAACTCCCCACCCAAGCTTGCCTGAGAATTCCAAAATCCTAGGGAAATCACAGACTCCCATGTGTTTTCTTTGTATTGTCCCCATGCTTACTTCAAAACGGGGTTGTCTGAGGATCTGTACACCAGCCATGGGTTTTGTGAGCTACTGCAAGATGTAATTATGGTCTGTGGATACCCTGCTATGCAAATGTCTTTCTGCTGGATTGTTGGCCAGAAAGACTCAGCACAGCCCCGTCCGTCTCAACAGAGCTGTAGGAGCTCCTTTGCACCAGCTTGAGGCTCTGGTCCTCTCCATTTATGAAGAAATCCCTCGCAGAAGGGGCAGCAGATGGGAGCAGCTCAGGTTTCATGGGTGTCACTGTGCTCCACCTGCTTCTTAAAACACTGAAATGTGGTCACTGGACTAAGGAAAACTAGGGGAGATTACTGTGCTTGTGTTGGCAGGCTGGAGTCCCGCTCATGGTAAGGGATGAAACACCTCGGATGGGAATGGCTCCCAGGGCTGGAGGGCAGTGAGTGGGACGTTTCCACCCTGCCTGCTTCTCACCAGGCTTTCTCTGCCCAGGGCTGGTGTTGAAATCAGTATAGAGACAGGAAAAATAGAAAATAAATCATGCCAGATCCTCACTGCTCTGTCACACGTGGATTTGAGGCTGAGATGCTACTGTACAACTTTATCAGACTGAAGCTGACCCATCCCTGACCCTCTATATTCTCTGTGATGGTACCGCAGATGTGAACAACTAGCTTCAGTTGCTAGGACAAGGCACCCAGATGCTGAAATATGTTCATAAATAAATCAATCTTTCTGCTTATTGCTGTTGGAATTGCAGCCTACCTGGCTCTTCCCATTAAATAATTCAAAGGAGAGAGCAGCCAGGCAGTGCATTGAGCTGCAGAGAGGATTTCTGCGAGGGAGGCTGCTGCTGCTGATGGATCATGGGGCAACCTGAGTGACTGCTGAGCACAAGGGAGGGTTTTTTGCATTAGGTGCCTTGTAAAATATTAATTGATTATCCCCTTGAGTGATGTACTCTGGATATGGACTGCACCCACCTTCCCTCGCGAGAGCGCGTTGCATTTGCAGGGTGCTGCATGTGTGCAAGCTCGCCAGCCCAGGAAGTAGCTTAAATGTTTTGTAAGATCAAGAGGATGCTTTGCATCACACATAGAGAACAATCATGTGCTGTAAGTCTTGTCCTCAAGAGGAGAAGCTCGCTCTAAACTCAGTAACAAATTACTTGGTCTTTCCTTCTCTTTTGGGCTCTAAAACACATCAGATCCTACTTTTGTTCTTTTCTTTGATCTCTGAAAGTGATGCTGTTGAATGCTGTGGGGTTCATCTGTGAAGAAGTCTACTCTGGGAGGTTTATTAATCTCTAAGAGCCTGTTCCAGCGGCGTTTGATGTTGCTGGAGCTTTTGCTCTTCGTCTGAGCAGGATCAGCTTGCTGCAGCCCAGGCACGGGCTGGCAGGAGAAATGGCCCAGCAGGTGATTTTTCATGACGGTGGAATGAAAAACAAAGTCTGCTGCTTGACTAATGATATTAAATAAGAAACATTTTTGAACAAATTTATAGGAACTGGGATCTCTGCAAACCTGTTGGGTTTCAGTGGGCTCAAAATACTTCACTCATTACTGTTAGGCATTCCCAGCTCTATAACATTTAATTCTGTGCATGAAGTTACAATGCACCTGGAGGTCTGTAAGAATTTCCCAGGGAATCAGTAGCTTTTTAGACCCCTTGATTTCCAGTGTTTCTGCTCTTTTTAAAAAAAATTGAAATACACACTCGTCCCTGTTCTGGAGGGGGAGAGGTGGCAGCTCCGCTCCCATCACATTGTTGTGGGGACATGGGGAGCATCCCCGGAGCTGCTTGTGGCATGGGCAGCTGGCGAGAGAGGCACAAACAAAGGCAAACCCAAGGCTTTCTCCAAAAAAACACTCTTCAGGTCCAGATTTTAGATGGTCCATTGAGTAACATTCTCCTCGTCATGACTTTCCTTCTAATTGCGTTCTGCGCATCCTTATTTGGCCGTTAGCCGCTGTTGTGGCGATACAGGTTATTAATTCCTCCCCTGCCCTGACTTTCACTCTGGTGCTTTGCCCGTGGTCAAGGTGAAGCTGGGAGGGCTGATGGAGATGCCATGTCCGTGGAACTCTCATTTGGAAATACTTTTCTCTCTTTGCTGTCTCCTTGTCTTACATGGGGGTGTTTATCACGAGGACTGATTACACCTCAAGCCCAGATTTATGGTTGGAAATGCGTGCCTGTGATTTTAATATTCTTTGTGGCTCTTCTACTTCTCTCTGGCACTGGAGAAGGAAATAGAGATTAAGAGCAGAAGAGGCATGTAAAAGAAAGGTCATGCATTGTGGTGGATTTCTTTTTTTATTATTTTAACAAGAGATGTTTAAACAGAGGTCACCTCCTTTCTTGCTGGAGCTGTGCAGGATGGTGTAGCCCTGTCAGGGCTGAATTCCAAGACCGGTTCCCGTGCTTCCTGGTCTCTTATTGCACCCTTATGCTTTGAAGCTTCTCTCGAAAACGGGCAACCTCCACATCTCTGCCAGATGTTGGAGTGTTAAGGCAATTGTCCAGAGACTCTGACAGCAGGCACAGCCCCGTCTGCCCTTCCCACCCATCCTTCTCCTCCCTCCAGTGTTGTCTCATCTCATATGGGCATGGTCAGACATGCCAACCTTTGGTGCTTCTTGGTTCCTGTGGGTCTGCATCTCGTGCGGAGGCGCGGCAGCCCTGACAGCTGGTGGAGCACAGGGTCATGGCTGGGGTCTCCACGGCTCTCCTCCCTCCTGTTCTCACCACCTGGCTGTGGTTTTAACTGAACCTGCTGCAGGTTTGAGCGCTGTTTCCATACACTTGGTCTGGAGCTGCTCAGCAGAGGAAGGATGAGGTACAGAAGAAGAGGGAAGGCAAATTAGTACTAGACAGAGGATCCAAAAAGAGCAAATGCAGAGACTAGCCAGGCCATGTATGAAATCTGTTGGGAGAGGCAATCTATTGTGAAGCAAGGAGGGTGGGAGAGCAGGAAATTGCTCTTGGGGGCAGTTACAAGTGGGTGTGTATCAAGTTTTGCTCCCTGACAGCATCAGCACCCTGCCCGCTGCGGCTCCAGCCTGGGG